CGCGACGGCAATTGACGCACAACGCGGCCTGCTTTTGACGCACCTACAGTGCGAGCCATGGCGCAATAACCCTAATCCATGTTACCCGGGGAAAAACCTACCCGCTGGTGTGTGCCATAGCTGTCGTCGAGCTCGTCGTTCAAAACCGTCTGCTTGTAAGTCGGCTCAATAGCGAGTATAAAGTTTTCTTGGACTCACCATCCTGCGTGGGCTCATAATTCTCGTTCTAACTCCTCGCCCAAAGCATTCCATTTTCGAGTCGACTCAATAGCGAGTACAGAGTATCTGCGGACTCACCATCCTGCGTGGGCTCATAGTTCTCGTCGAACTCCTCCTCTAGAACGATCGACGGGTCCGCCATGGGTGCCTACGCATGAACGATTGAGGCGCCTTATCTGAGGTACGCATGAAACCGCGCGCTGAGGAAACCAATAAAATAATTAAACGACTGAAACATGCTGGCGAAAGCCTGAAAAGGTTCTAGAGCTTCGCATTTGCTTAGAAGCTATGGTACAGAAGAGGGCCCTCAGCCGTCAAACCCTAACACTGCGAGATCAGCCAGCAGCAAGGCGCACTACGGCGGCACTAAGCACGTTATCGAATAACTCGGCATTTTTCTCCTACACTACGAAGCCTACAACATTTTAAATCGACACGCTTTAGTTCAGCAAGACGCGAAATAGTCGCGGCAAGAGGCTCGCCGCCGACACTACACTCCCCTCCCCAACTGCAGCACCTGCTACGGACAAAAGCTCCCCAACAACCTTGGCCCTAAACGAACCTAACCTGAGGAAGAAGGCTGTGAGGAACCTACAGTAACTCTGTAAGGGAAGGGTGTGTCTCCCCCCCCCGTGTTCTATCTGTGCCTGAGCCGAGTTGCTCCGGCTGCAAGGCGGGCAGGGAAAGCCTGCGAGCTTTGGGACAGAGCCTCGCGTCGTGTAACTGCGTTACTTATCTTTGACGACGAGCCCTTCAGTGAGTTTGCTCCAACGAGAATGTCCACATCGATTTTCGCGAAAGGACGCTCTGGTTCGTGCGGTACTGTGGATGCGCAGTTACATGCCAGACCTAGAGGCCCGGTGTGGTGCTGCTTGATCAGCAGGTGCGGCGAGAATGAAACCGCCTCCACAGTTTTGTTTGATTCGCGCTTTACTGTTCCTCGCTTTCCCTTTCGCAAGTGATCTGACGAAGTAAGGTAGCTGAGAAACATAAAAGAATGCACGTGATATATTCCCACGTTACCATATATAGCTCACCATACACTCATGGTGAGAATGGCAATAATCTAGATTTGCCAAAAACAAGACACAACTTCAGGGACCTCCAAGTGACCATCTTGGGATTCATCACTCCCCTCATCACACCCACCACCATCCCTTGGCAAAACCCTCCCACCAGCTACCACCTTCAGCACATCCATTCTGCTCCGTTGATTCCCCTTCCCTTCTGCTTCTCCCTTCCCATCAACACCCGCACCTGACTTCTTTCCGCTGCCAGTGAAAAACCCGGATCTTCCACTAGTGTCTCCAAGGGTTTTGCCCTTTGCCGAGCCTGATCTCATAAACAGGCTCTCCAGGCGAGAAGGCCGTTCCACAGGCCCGCTCCACGTCCGAGGCAGGAACCTTCGGCTCGCCACTAACGATCCAACGCCAGAGACCGTCGAGGTAGCAGCATCCCCACCGTTGATCGTCGTGCTACGATCAAAGCCGCTGCTCTTGCTGCTGCTCTCCCTTACCGATGCCAACCGTTCTCTCGCTCGTGAGCCAGCTCCCAATGGCGACACTGGTGCTTTACTGCCGCGGAAGTGCGGAACGGGGTGGCGGCGCTGCTTCTGCGCCCTTTGCGTTTCCCAGAACGTGGGCGGAATTTCCGACGCGAGAGAGCGTACATGAAAGTTCTCAAAGGCAGCTTCTGGGCCTGCGCCGTCTCCTCGCACACTGGCGGCGGCGGCGGCGGCGCGTTGTCGGAAGTCGTCCGGTAGAGGCCGTGACATATCTCGTGGTGTCGCATGCTCAGCGAGTGGCCAGTCGTCTGGAACGCAGTTGCTGCTGGCGGCGCAGGTGGCGCAAGTGTCGCAGGCGGCACAGGTGGCGCCATGGTACCGGCCGTCAGTGGCGACAACGAGAGGCGGCGAATGTGGGAGGGACGACGACGAGGGCGCATTGCGCGCCTGCGTCTGATCGGAGGGGGCGGACGGAGGCGAGAAGCTGCGCTCTTTGCGCTTGTGGATGGGGGAGGGATGGGCGCGGGGCGGGGAAAGATGGGTGTCCGTCAGGGGTTGATCGCGAGGCGGATGAGGGCACGCCCTCGGCTCCAGAGGCAGATCCATGTGGTATGATGCCGGTAATGCTCTGACGGATGGGAAGGGATCCATGGCGGTGGCCATAGCAGGGGCGAACTGCGTCTAAGGCAGACGACACGAGTGATGAGCAGCGTCGTGCGCTTTCAAATACTGTAAGTGCTTTGAGCGAGCAAACGACGGGGATGGGCTGGGATGGGGTGGGTGGGACCGTGGGACTGATGGCAACAAGCATGTTGTTCAGTCCAAGCAGCACTGAGTCGAATTGTCCAGTGGCCGACATGGACAATTCGAGCACAGCGTTCGGAAATGTCCAAACATGAACGTTTTCGCTACCCCCAACACTCCCTGAGCTGAGTGTGAGCTTCGTGCTTTCTCAGTGAGTGAACTGTTTGGCTGCCTTGAGCTCGTCGGTGGCACCAAGAATGCACTGCTCACAACACGACAAGTGGAGAGGTGGATTAGTGGGGATGGTGGTTGGTTGGAGGGAATGGTTACCACCACCAGGTTCGGTCCGCGCCGGTGATATGGCCGTAGGGCGGCGGTTGTTCCGAGGCTAGACTCGCTCGTTGGTACGGCAGCTGTTGTGTGGTGGCGATTCGAGGTTTGGTCTGGGCGAACAGTGCCTCACACCAATCAGCGCCATTGGAATGTCGGTGGGGGAGGGTTCTTTGTTTTGTGAGGGCCCAGTAGGACCACTGGCCGGCCTCACCTGATCATCGTAGTCCTCCCTCCCCCAAAGTTTGAGGGGGCAGAATCGAATGGTGCATTGGAGCGAAAAGTGGTTTGGCCGTTCTTTCATGTGCCAGGCTGGGAAGGATTTGGAGAATCTCCGCGGTCCGCGTCAAACCGCAGTGCTGTGTGACAACGACGATTGCATCTGCAATAAGGGCGCGTGTACGTTTCTCGCTCAATACCCTGTCCAACCGTTTCTGATCGTTTTTAAAACCTTTTGATTCGCAGAGCATCTCACCCTACGCAATCAAACGTACGCGGGCGACACGCCCTAATCCTGGAGGTTGGAGGGTCGAAACACTTCGCATGGTAATAGCACTGTGATTTCCATAGACACAACATTCATACACGCAGTGAGTGACACTGCATACAAACGAGCAGGCTTCAAACGATGAAAATTCCTCGATGCATCTCTCCCCCATCGAGTCTGGGTTTGGCTGCGAAGGCTGGTAGCTGTACACTGCTGTCGGATGCGTTTGGTTTGGTTGGCCATGGATGGTCGCCCTGGCTGATACAGGCGAACCCGTTTCGTTATTGGTCGGCTCAGAACCCAGATCATTTCCGGCATTTAGAGCAAGTAACACTCTGTGTCGAGCGGACTGTCGCCAACCTCGCCCAGTCTGCCCAACCCTTTCGCCTTCAACACTTCCCATAGTCACCAATCACAGGTTGCCCTCGAGATTGTCACAGAGAGGTCGGGTGTCACCAAACCCAACTCTCAATCGCAGCTGTTTGGCTGAAGTCTCTTACACTGCTAGGATATGCCTTGCTCGTATTGGCTGACACCGCACCTTCAAATTCAAACGATGTTTGCCGCGTTCCAGAATGACGAGTTCGTGTGGCCGCAGATAAGATGAATATCGACGGTCCTTAGCTTTTTGGCTCAACGTTCAACTGTAGGAATGCTCCTCCCGCCTTTGCGAAAAGAAAGCGCGCTGGAAACCATCAGTTTTGTTCGCATCGCGTAGCCGCTGCGGTGTAGAGGCGTCAGCGAATAGTATGCATCGGCGTTTTTTTTTCCCTTCACTTTTCCTTTCCTGACCGACAGATTCACGTGCGACGTGAACGATTTCCAACCAGCCACGGACTGGACTCTTGAATCCCCCTCTCGAGGGGAGATTTTGACACTCGCAGCCGCCGTCAACATTCGCGAGCAAACGCAACCGGATAGCCAGTGAACCAATGAGGGTCGAGATTCCCCCTTCGTGACGACAATAAAAAAAACGAACATACGGCTGCGATCTGAACTAGGACAAACGTTTGGAACGGTTGAGTGTTCCTGAGCGTTAGATCGTGTTCGCGAAACCCCAAGAGAGTTGAGAAGACAGAACGAGAGGGGAGTCATTCCGTGACCCCCTTGCCTCATCCCAGCGCGAGTGTCGTCTCCTCGCCTCATTCTCGTAGGGGATTTCCCTAGGGTCTCGCCTCTGGCTCATTCATTTCCCCACTTTCAGCCTTTTCACCTCATTTTCTCGCCCCCAGCTTCTTCCGCTCATTCTCTCACGCTCAGCTTGTAGAGCTCGCTCCCCAAACTGAGGAGATGCTTTCCGCCAGCGAAGCTATTTCTCGATTTGGGTTGGAGCTTTCTGCTTGACGTTTGGCTCTATTGTAGAAGCTGCGTCTGGGGGAAAGAACGAAGCGGACATTCAATTCGCTTCACCAAGCCTGCAATTTCAGGGATTTAGGCATGATTTTGCGTTGAGAAAAAGAGGTTGACAACTACGGCGCTGGATTCCCGAATCAGGTAACTAAAAGCCATCTGCTTTTCGTTTTTGAACGTTATCAGCAAAGGGCCATTCGTTTCCGTTCTAACACATGAAATCGTTCTGTGCAGATGTCTTCCACTGTTCCACCCCTTATCAAGTCTCTGCCAACATATTCGCTTCAATCCCGATTTACACCAACATCGACTGTAGAAACAAGTAATTTTCTTCGCTGAAACAGGTAATCGAGTATCCACTGAATTGCAATTCCCTTCGTTTTACCCTCGCGTTTTATCCGTTCACCTGGTTCAGCGTATGACCTACTTGCATGCTGGTCGGCACGCTGCAGGTTCGTTCGAAGACTCGACCTCTACGACCAACGCCTGTTGCCCGGATGGACACTCTTAAAAATCGCCAGATGGATGGTCGCGCGTTCTTTGGCTCGTCCACAGGTCAGGTAAAGTCCGAAGTCTCACCCGCACTGCTCCTCGAGTTCGAGGAGGGCAGCAGGCAGCCACTCAAGCGGCGCATCACGTTTCCAGCGAAGTACATGCGCCTCCCTGGACTTAACCTTGCACACTGCTGCTCGCTCATGTTGCTGCTTCAACTTGTTCCTGTTCGCTTCTATGCTCTCTCCTCCAAATTTGGCCACTGGTTGAGGCCCGGCTGACAAGCCACAGACCCCCTACAGCCGGTATCCCCCTCAGGTTCAGCCTTACAGCCCCCTCTGCTAGGCCCGCCTACTGCAGGTTCAACCCCTGTGGATTGTGGCTTTGCCTCTACCAGGGGCCCCTCCCTTCTCTCCCCTTGCATTTCTTGCAATGTTTTTTTCAGCTGTCATTCACCCTGCATCCCCTCACTGTGCACTGACTAGCGCTCTGAGTGTGCATTGCAGGTGGAGGGGAGGGGCGTGGGGGTCAACACTGCCGCTTCCCCACGCCCCTCCCCTGTGGCTGTGCATGTACCGTGGGGGTGGGGGGAAGGCGCGTGTGCACTGTGGGGATCGGGGAGGCACAGCATTGGGGGGAAGGTGCAGCATGTCAGTCACTCGCATGAGGGGGGGTATCAGGGTGGGCTTGGCCTCTCAATGTAAGCTCTCATGCTCACTTGTGCTCACTCCACATCACTTGCTGCTCCTGCTGTCCCTCAAATGACGCATTCCTTGTTCTTTACTGCTGAATTCTTCTTTTTTCACAGCTGCTTTCCACTATTGCTCTGCAACTTGTACCTTTCCCACTTCTCGTCTCACTTTGTCACCTTTCCGCTGCTCTGCAACTTGTCCCTGTCCCCTTGCCTGTCTGCCGCCCCTTGTGCCCCCCTGACAGATCACTTGGCAACCACTGAAGATTGCAGCAGCAGCGGCAGCAGCAGCAGCAGCAGCAGAAGCAGTTGAAGCTGCAGCAACAGTGTGGGGGGGGGGGGGGGGAGATAGGGGGCAGGCTAGGTCTAGTTGTGAGCGAGGATGGTAAAAAGTGAGGTATGGTAACAGGTGAGGTATGGTAACAGGTGAGGTATGGTAACAGGTGAGGTATGGTAACAGGTGAGGTATGGTAACAGGTGAGGTATGGTAACAGGTGAGGTATGGTAACAGGTGTGGTAAAGGATAGCGTGGAGCACCCCCCCTCACTCACCTTCCTCTCTCTCCCATTCCTTCTAACTCCCTCCCCACCAGCGTACCTGCAGCTTGCTGGAGGGTAGATCTGGGAGCACCAGAGCAAGGGAAGGATAGAGTGTAGCCCCGCCACTCACTCACCTTCTTCTCTCTCCCATTCCCCCTAACTCCTTCCCCACCAGCACACCTGCAGCAAGGGCTGGAGGGTGGATCTGGGAGCACTGGAGCAAGCCAGGAGAGAGGAGCCCCCTTCACTAACCCCACCCTGCCCCACCCCACCCTGCTCCACCTCTCCCCTCTCCCCAGTCACCTCCCCTCCCTTCCCCAGCAGCAAGCGTTGAGCCCAGTGGGCGAGGAGTCCCTACCCTAATTTCCCCTCCCTTTCCAGCAGCCTCAGGCAACCTGGCACCACTCTGCACCGTTTTGGTAGGTAGAGGTAAGGCGTCTGCTGGTATTGGGGGGGCGGGGGGCGAGGGGAGGGTTTGGGGGGGGGGGGCTAGCATGGGAGTGTGCAGTCAGTTCACTGCCTCAGGGGCAGCATCCTCGGTGGTTGTGGCTGGTGGGTGGGGTGTGGAGGGTGGAATTGCTGTGGCATGGCACTCGGTGCTCAAGTAACCGATCTTACATTTAAGGCTTAATGGACACCGTCAGAGTTGGCCGGCCGGTGGCTCTGGTTCGCGTCAGCTCTAGCCATGTCAGGGGTGGGATTTGAGTCTTGGGCTGGAAACGCTTTTCCACTTCCACTCCTCAACCCACAAGGCACGGCCACTGGGACTGCTGTTTCCGAAGGGGAGTGGGCTGTCTGCTGCTCCTACTGCTGCCAGGTCCAAGGGGGAGGGGCTGGGTGGGCTGGGAGGTAACGATGGTGAGTGGTGCTGGTGGGAAAGTGAGGGTAGTGGTGGTGGTGGTGGTGGTGGTGGTGGTGGTGGTGGTGGTGGTGGTGGTGGTGGTGGTGGTGGTGGTGGTGGTGGTGGTGGTGGTGGTGGTGGTGGTGGTGGTGGGTGGTGGTGGTGGTGGTGGTGGTGGTGGTGGTGGTTGTGGTGAGTGCAGGAGGGGAGGGGGGTGAAACCCGAAGGGTAAGTTGAGTGAGGGGCAGTGGAGGGGGGTTGAATACTCCCAGGGTATGGAGATAGCAAGGTAGGGGGGTGGGG